CCTTTTTAGTGTACAAATACTTTTTTTACTGCACGTGGAAAGTCCTGACTTTTGAGGCACAATGTGTTTGTTTACAAAATTCCTAGAAACTTTATGTTTACACTAAATGCATTATTACACAAATGTTCTTATTGTTTTCTGTTAATACTGTTTTATGCTAAGCAGAGCAAAATAATATTTAAGAAAGATCAATTCTTTTTAGAAATATTTTACTCTGGTAAATCTATTTGCACTCAAAATAAATTGTTAAATTGTGTACTAGTTAACACTCTATGCATACTTTTATCATTCAAAAACATGCATCCAGTTAAATTCAGGTTCATTTCAGAGCAAGAAGAGCAGAGGGGGAGGGAGGGAGGGATGAATCATCACGCTGGTAGGGGTGAAGGTAATGGGGTCGGCCTGCCCTGGCATGAGGTGTCCCTTATTTATTTTTCAATAGTTTGGATAATAATTTTTCTGAGCTGGCAACCCTAGTACGGTACACAGGGTCCCAGTTACATCCAACAAAAGTATAAAATGCAAAAGAAAAACAGGAATAAGATCTAAGATATGAACTAAGAAAAATGATAACTAAAAATACACTAAGCACTAGTAGTACAAGAGCAATACGCCGAACAGCAGCACCAACATGAGTCTGTGAGCAGATGAGAACAATGAACACAGCAGAGTGAAATACATCAGCAGCCAACAGATGTGAGGAAACAGCCAGCTGTGGTGTCTTCTGTCCACCAGGTGGCAGTATTTCCCCTCTGTTTTTTAATTTTTTTATTACAAAACTTTATCAATTTTAAAAACAACTGTCTGCCAGGGGTATATTAGCAGGTACAAAAGTATAGAAAGAACAATTTTGGTATAAAATGGTACAAAGGGTAACAAATTCTAAAGATACAACACAATATATTTACATGTTATACAGATAAATTCACATTAAGTTTTTCTAGAACTGAGATGTTTCATTGCCTTTTTGTTTTCAAGTCCTTTAACGGCGGTGCTGTGTATGTACAGTTCTGCTGAAGTGGGTCATGCTTGACTTGGAGTTTGACCACTTTTTCTTGTGAATGTGGAATTTTCCCAGGAGAAGTAGAAGTTGGGTCAAGTAGATCAAGTCTTTGTCCATATCCTTATTGTCGAAGCATAATATAACGTCTTTCTCTGTAAGTTGAGTTATTTGTCCAGTTTTCTGTTGTATGAGTTGTTGTCAGAACGTCTTTGTGTGATTACATTGATAGAATAAATGAGAAATTGTTTCCATGTGTAGTTCACAAAACGTACAAATATTATCAATATCAAGTTTAAATCTTTCCAGTGTTTTTTTAACAGGGTATACATTATGATTGATTTTATATGAAACCTCTTTAACTTTATTTGTTATGCAATTTTTTTCTCCATTCAACCAAACTTGTTTCCACTTAATTTCTCCAAAAGTAGAGAACCAAAAAAAAAAAATCTACCAGGAGGTAAAGTAATCTTCTGCAGACATGATCTTATAAGTTTGTTGGAGCATGTTTTTGCATTATGGCCATCCTTTTGGCCAGTGGCTGTTTAGTTTCCCCGATGTAAGACTGATCACCCTCCTGACACTGAACAACATACACAATATTACTCTGTTTGTGCCGGGGGACTGGATCTTTGGGATGAACCAGTCTTTGCCGTAATGTATTTTGTGGTTTAAAAGCCACTGGGACGTTATGTTTAGAAAATAAACGTCTCAGTTTCTCTGATACTCCCTCAACAATGTTGAGGGAGGATGGCCCAGCACAGAAGATCAACATCATCAGGCCAGGACTCTGCGGTCTACACTCATCTCCAGGCCAGCGGTCACTCTTTCAGGGATGAAGATGTTCACATCCTGGATAGAGAGGAACGATGGTTTGAGAGAGGAGTAAAGGAGGCCATCTTTGTGAAAAGAAACCGTCCATCATTAAACAGGGGTGGAGGCCTCCGGGTTCAACTGTCCCCCTCTTACAATGCTGTGATTGCTAGTATCACTCAACCCTCTGTGAACAGTAAACAGCCATCAGTGTGCTAATGATCCATTGTTAGGCTGATGGTCCTTCTTGAGCATGTGATCAGCTGGTTTTGGTTGTCAGCAGCAAAACTGGTTGATCCTCTCTGAGAAGGTGCTATTTAAGAGACTGAGCTGAATACAGCACCTCAGACTGAGGAAGTCTCTCGGATGAGAGACGAAACGTTTCTACATTTTTTTTGTTGATTTGCTTTGTTTTGTTTTTTTGAATGTCCAGAGGACCAGATTTAACTTTTTTACGTTTTTACATTTATTAATCAATCACACAATTTAATTACACTTATGCATGCATAAAGCTCATTTAAACTGATTAAATTAGGCAATAGCATTGCATTGCCAAGTGCAGGAAACACGTGCGTCATTGCGCGTTTTGTAATTGTGGAAAGCTCAAACTGGTCAGCATGTCGATGGAAGATTTTACTGGTCTCGAATGGAATATTTTACTTTGGCTGGTCACTCCCCACGGATGCTGGAGCAGAGAGGCGTGCTGCCATTGGCTGCTGGTGCCGTCACTCGAGCCTATAAAGAGCAGGGGGGGCGCTGATTGGCCAGGAGGAGCGAATCAGCAGCAAGGGGGGAAAAAACTCTCGGATCAAAACAAAGCAGCAGCGTCCAGCACCCCCGACTGGAAATTTCCAGGCGAATAAGTTGAGACTGAAGGGAATCTTCGCATGCGCGTTTTAACATCTTCTCTGATTTTTCACTCGGAGAGGGAAAAAAGGTGAGGAACTGCAAATATAAGTCTGATGTTTATTTATTGTATTTCGTAAACGTGCGTTAGAGTTTGTGACAAAACTTATCTTTTCGTTGGCTTTTCAGAAGACTGACGTGTTGCGTTCAAATGGTGCTCGTGCTAAGTCCTGAAACACAATGTTGACCGTTTTCTCAACAATGCGACTATTTTTCCTCTGCAGATTACTACTTTGAATTCTTGTTATTTCGAACAAAACCTCGATTATTATTATTATTTTTTTTTTTTTGCGAGTGGTCCTAACTGTATTTGTTCAACTTTTTTTTACAGCTTGAAGTGCACTTTGGGTGCACTTTTGCCAAAACTGGTGCAACTAGAAAATAGTGATGACGAACTGCCCGGGAAATGTTGAAGTAACTTGACATGTTTTGAATGGTTTAGAATAATCTGTTTCATTCGTACATGAATGTAGACAGTGCATAGTGTAGTTTATAACGTTGCTACCTTTAATTAATCTAACGGGATGATGGAAAACCATCTCCTGCCTGCATTGAAAGGGCACGTGAGATGCAAACATCCACGCCCCCTTCTCTGTTGAGGGCAGCAGGCAAAGGGGAGGAGCGGAGCTGAGAGAGGAGGAGGAGCAACTATGGTTGTGGTGGGGTGTGGTGGGCGCGCTTGACAAGCAGAGCCCAGGACAACAGGACTGCGGCTCTACGTACGGTTGTACGTAATGACGTACATCTTTACACAGCAGGACGCATCCGCAGCGGAACCCAAGTTAGTCCTTCACAATAAGAGTCACTTACATGTACGTTTAGTCGAACAACGTCGAAATACTAACAATATCCGAAACTTTCAAAAGTAGCTTACATTGTTGTTGTTCTACTTCAAAGTAATTAATATTCTACTCCAGAACACGAGGAAGTTTGAGAGTATTTAGAAGTTGATACTCTTATTGTGAAGGATGAAAATGAGTTCCGCCGTTGTGAGTTCCGGTATTGCGGAAGTGAATGAAGCCGGGCAGGACTGGTTCGTTTGAATTAGCTGTTGTCATTTTGCAGTGTACTCGGTAAGAAATCACCTCCGAAACGATAATAACGAAATGTAACAAATGCTGTATTTTTATTGGACGAAAAGTTTGACAGTAACTTAACATGTGAACCTCAGCATTGACTTGAGCACCACCATTGAGATCTTTGCGGTGGGGTCTCGCGATGTGTGAGCAATACTTTGAGAATGACTCTTCAACAGTCAGTAGCAGTGTTTTAAATATTGCATGAGATGTAGCTCAAGATCATTTACAAGGTGCAACTAAAATGACTTTAACAAGTGCTAGGTCTGTAATCTTATCTTTTTTTATTTTATAGATTCTGCAGCCATGTCTGTGAACATCCACATCAACAGCCCTAATGTGAAGTACACAGAGACACACATCGAGGCTCAGTATTCTTACCAGACCACATCAGTTCATCAGGAGGGGAACAAACTCACGGTCAGTCTGATATTTCCACCTGTCTGAGTGCATCTGTTCAGCCTCCCATCTCATCCGGCTGTATTTTTGTGGTATTTATAGGTGACCCCTTGCACCACCCAGATGACGTTTCAGACAGAGCGGCACATTCCACGGCTGGGCGTGATGCTGGTGGGCTGGGGAGGTAACAACGGGACCACCGTCACAGCTGCCGTCCTGGCCAACAAGCTGGGACTCACCTGGAGGACGAAGAACGGAGAGAAGGTTAGCAGAGCAAATATGAACTCATTCAAGGAAGGTGCATGACTTAAAGTTTTTTTAATGAACTGCCCTTAACCCAAGAGAACGTCTAGGGAGTGTTTGATATTATAGGTGTGGCTTGCTGTCATAAAAAAGTATTTATAAACCAATTACACACAGTGAATTGTTTAATCTTGCCAGTTCTTGGAAACTGTTTCTATAGGCGTGCATTATTAACATCTATAAACTGGACAGTTTACTTTGGTTTAACAAGTTGAACTTTAAAGCAACACGTCTTCATTTTGTGTGTTTTTTCATTCCTAGAAAGCAAATTACTACGGCTCCCTCCTGCAGGCGTCCTCTGTTTGTCTGGGCTCAGGCCTGGAAGGCGAGGTCAACGTGCCATTCCGGGACCTCCTGCCCATGGTGCACCCTAATGACATCGTCTTTGACGGTACAGAAAACTTCAGTTATTTAATCTCTCGTCAATAATCCTGAGGGATAGTTAATGGCAGCTAAAATCTGATCTCAAAACAACTTGAGAGTGGAAAGGGTTCTTGAGGACAACGAGTCACTCAGAAACTTTGTGTTCACTGAGGTTGTGGAGCGAGAATTTAAACGCGTCATGTTTCCAGGTTGGGATATTTCCTCATTGGATCTGGGCAGTGCAATGGAGCGAGCTCAGGTGCTCGACTGGTCATTGCAGGAGCAGCTGCAGCCACACATGAGCTGCCTAAAACCTAGACCATCCATCTATATCCCAGAATTCATTGCTGCAAACCAAGAGAGTCGTGCAGACAATGTCCTCACTGGTACTATGGCAGAGCAGGTGACAATTTTTCCCCCTTTTTTTTTTATATACGGTATATTTTTTGTACCCGTTTCATTTGAAAGTAAATGTTTTTTTCAGATGGAGCAGATCAGAGCTGACATAAGAGACTTCAAGCAGTCCAGCGGTGTGGACAAAGTCATTGTTCTGTGGACGGCCAATACCGAGCGCTTCTGTGCTATCATCCCTGGCGTCAATGACACGACCAAGAACTTGCTTGCTGCAATCCAGGTGAGTTCAATCTGCAGACACTCTTCCACCATCATTATTGTGCCATTATGAGTTTGTCTCCATACATCTTCTTTCTTTACCAGAGAGGAGCAGCAGAGATTTCTCCATCCACTCTGTTTGCAGTCGCCAGTATACTGGAGGGCTGTGCCTACATCAACGGTTCCCCACAGAACACCTTCACTCCAGGAGCCATCGAGCTGGCTGTCCAGAGAGGCGTGTTCATTGGCGGCGACGACTTCAAGTCCGGCCAGACCAAGATCAAGTCAGTTCTTGTGGACTTTCTGGTCAGCGCAGGTATCAAGGTGAGAGAAAGGATGCATGGATAGTAGCGATATACATTTGAGTGTAGAAATAGTGAAACACAACACCAGACCAACAATATCCTTTTACTTCCCAAACAAAAAAGTTTCAATATTTTTGTTTGCCTTTGACAGCCAACCTCCATCGTCAGTTACAACCACCTCGGCAACAACGACGGGAAAAACCTGTCGGCCCCGCAGCAGTTCCGCTCTAAAGAGATCTCCAAGAGCAACGTGGTGGATGACATGGTGCAGTCCAACCCCATCCTCTACCAGCCTGGGGAGAAACCTGACCACTGTGTAAGTGGCTACACAGGCAAATATTAGCTAAAGTTTTTAGTTTTCTACAGTTGCCTAGCTGTTTGTTGTTACTTTTCTTGTTTTTAGCCATCCTATTTGTAAAAAAAATTAAATAAATTTGTATGACTTTTTATAACTGTTTATTGTTGTCATTATTCTTTGTTGAAATCAGGTCTCTCTTGTAAATGAGTCCCCGAGGCTCAATGGGATTAACCTGTCTAAATAAAGGTTGAATGAATAAAGTGTGTCCAGGTGTTTGCAGAAAACAAACATCCAAAGTGCTTAAATGTCTTGTGTTTCATTTCAGGTCGTGATTAAATACGTCCCATATGTGGGAGACAGCAAGCGTGCCATGGATGAATACACCTCTGAGATAATGATGGGAGGGCTCAACACGATCGCGCTGCACAACACCTGTGAGGTCAGTATTTTTCCATCTCAGCAACAAATCTACTGCAAGAACAGATTCAAGTTAACTAGTTGTAGAGGAGGGAGGCTTAGGAGTAACTTATCCTACGATAATCCACCTTGAGCTAATGCAAATAGACACATGCAGTTCACTCACATCTTGAGTTATTCTTCCTGCCTTTCCCAATCAGTTTGTACGTATTCAATGTTAAATGCAATTGAATGCTGGTTGCGCCAGACATCTTGTCTCCTCCCTCTGCTCAGCATCCCCCCCAACACATGCGCACACACACACACACAAGACTGCAGCTGCATGTTGCCACTCATTTAGGAGGCAAGACAAAATTAGAGCAGGCTCGCAAAGCAAAATATGGCAACAAAGATGGCAGTACAAGACTGTTTGAACGAAGGATGGATAGCGAAGAGAATGGGAGGGAGTTATGATAAAAAATCAGTAAACAAGTTCTCAGCTTCTTTTTGCAGAGAGAAACAACACACCGGTTTCAACCGTGAATTTTGGAGCTTCGACAAGACGGAGGTTTTTTTCCCCGAGGTCAGCCTGTTAGCTTAGCTCGTAGCTTAGCTGCTTTTAAAGATCAAAAAATACGATTGGTTAAAATGGATTTTAAATAGAAAGGGAGGGGTCAGTGAAGAACACTGGAGTTGAGCCTTTTGTCATCAAGTGTCTTCATAGAAAGAGAGACACGAAGAAACAATGAAGCTGATAAATTAAAATTAAGTCAATAATTTTCATTTATCATGCGATTAATGGATTTATTGTTAATCGCGACAGGCCTAATAATGATCACTTTTTTAATTCATGACACTGTATTTGGAGCAAAATTTGAAGCATCAATATTGCTGAAACATTTATCAGTTCTATACGTTTTATATTTTTTCTAGCTTTTATTTATTTTGTTTTTTCTTCTTTCGGCTGCTCCCTTCTTCAGGGGTCGCCACAGCGAACAAGTCGCACCAAGACTTGGCAATTGTTTTTATGCCGGATGTCCTTCCTGATGCAACCGCAGAGCTCCCACAGCCCTCTGTGTGGAGCAGAGAGCTGACATCTAGGGTGCCCGGGGGAGCAGATGGTGGGGGTTATGAGTGGGGCAAATGAGGGTGGAGGCAGGTGTCGGTGTTTCATAACAGGCCCACCTTCTCTAACCTCTGCACCACCACTCCCCCTATTTTAGTAGCTTTTATAAGAGACTAAATTTTAGGGTAATGATTTGGGTTTGTTTTAGTTGTAACGTTTAAAAAGTGGGCATCAAAATATGCTTTTCTTCATTAAAGTTGTAGTCATGGTGTCGTGTTTGACTTCTCCACAGGATTCTCTGTTGGCCAGCCCCATCATCCTGGACCTGGTGATCTTGGCTGAGCTTTGTCAGCGTGTGACTGTGAAGCCTCAAGGAGAGGAGGACTTTCAGTCCTTCCACAGTGTCCTGGCTCTGCTCTCCTTCCTCTGTAAGGCCCCTCTGGTGCCAGCGGGGACTCCGGTAGTCAATGCCTTCTTCAGACAGAGAGCCTGCATAGAAAACGTCATGAGGTATGGATCACTTTTACTGTAAAATGTAGTTTTTTTTCCCCCATTAACATAAGAAAACATTAAAAAAAGATTAGATTATACAGTTCTGTCTTCCCTTTTCTCCTTTACAGAGCTTGCCTTGGCCTTCCTCCTCAGAACCACATGCTGCTGGAGCACAAGCTGCAGAGGAACTTCCTGACTACACACACAACCTACATCAACAGCGACGTGGCCACGCTGAAAAAAGCCATGCTTGCCAATGGGCAGCATGTCCCTGTGTCCCTAACAAAGGGCATATACATTCACGAGAGGGACACAGCTTGTGCTATGTAATGCTTAATAGATTACTAAATACCAAAGTAGGCTTTAAACTTAGAACTACTGTAAACCAAACATTTTGACAGAGCACTCAGTGATTAAACCTTGACTAGGTTATAAAGAAACTGATGTTTTTAAATCAACTTGAGGTTAAGAACCACAGTTATTTATCTCTGTGCAATCGGTGTAATCTTTGTGTTTGAGTTTACAGATTATGGTTGTACTTTTCCAGAGTTTACTGTGTTTAGTACAAATTATAACTCCCAACTATACCATGTACTGTATTAAGTATATATCTGTGAAATGTTTAGTTTTTTTCCTTCGAAGCAGATGCCGACTTGATGACTTTACCTGTGAACATTGATTTGATAACTGCTGTATTTTTGCTGTTTGACAAGAAAGCACATTAGCTTAGTGAAAAAGGGTGAATCTTAAATAGTTTATCTGTTTTCTGCCATTGTTTCATTGTAGGTGTTTAGGAGTATATTTATATAAATTAAACTGAAACGTTTAAACCTAAACATGTTTTGTTGCACTCATTTTTTTTTATGTATTCTCATTTGTTGAGGCATCTCTCAAGATAAAATGGGTTTATTTCTGTGAGCTGAAAACTGCAACCACATTAAAACCCCCTGTGAAGTGGCTTGTCAGTGTTTGTCTAAAACTAGGACATTACGGTTGAAAGTATTTGCTTTCACGGCACACAGTAAATGAGATTTCGTGGTTTTTTAGTCGACGGGTGTCAAATAGAGTAATTCACGCTTTGCCACAAACATACAGTAAAACAATAGGATGAAACTGCCAACTTGGTTTTGTATCTGGTCAGAGAGGTGATCCCCATTTACATTTGATCTTAATTAAAATGTCTTAAAGATAAAAAATTTAAAAATCCTTCAACCTTTATACAGGTTCGTCTCATTGAGTCGCAACTCATTTACAAGAGAGACCTGTTTTTAACAGAATGATGACAACAGTAGACAATCATACAGTAAAAGCATAAATTGGGAAAAAAAATTAAAAAGTGAAACAATAATGGCTACAATGTAAAAGCAATCGATACTAAAAACAGGAACATGTCTGCATTGGTTTTTGCCGTGAACTTAGCAGATGTTTGAAGCCACTTAGTCTTCTCTTGTCAAGGTCGAGAGCTTCAGATCTTTTTGCAAGGTATCCCAGGATACAGGAGCAGAGTAGGAGAAGGCCCTTTTGCCAAGTTCAGTCCTCAGTGAGGGGACACATTTCTGTCCTGAGAGCGCACGCTGTAGCTGCACTCACGCAGAGACATGTAGGAGGAAATGTATGAAGGCAGCAGACCGAGAAGAGATTTAAAGATGAATATGTACCAGTGGGAGAGTCTGTGTGAAGTTAATGATGACCAGTTAACCAGTGAATACTGGGTGCGATGGTGGGTACGATAGTTACAGCCTGTTTAGCGCACCATGAGTCCAGCATCTGCAGGGTGCTTGTATAGGAGTGTTCATGTAAATGATGTCACTGTAATCAATGGAGGGAAGGAAAGACAGTTGCAAGGTGTTTTCTAGCATTCAGAGATAGACAGGAGCTATTTCTGAAAAAGAAACCCAGTTTAACTTTCAGTTTCTGTACCAAGTTTTGATGTGGGGCTTAAAAGAGAGATGCAAATTGACAAAGATTTCCAAGTATTTATAAAAATCGACAAACTCAATAGGAACACCATTTAAATCAAAGGAAGGACTGCTGGGACCGACTTTCTGTACATCCCTTTGGTTTTGTCGGCGTTTAGTACAAGTTTGAGACGGATCAAATCTGACTGGATGATGTCAAAAGCAGATTGCAAAAGCTGGAAAACCTTATCAACTGTTTTAGCTCGACAATAAACAACTGTGTCATCAGCATAGAAATGTATGGATGCATCAGGGATGATCTGACCTACATTACTTATGTAGAGGGGGGGTCCTAAGACTGAACCTTGTGGTACACCGTTGTTACAGATTTGAAGAAGTACTTTTATGTTGAATACATTTACCTCCCATCTGAGAGATAATTACATATTGTATAATGTTTGTAACCACTACTTGATTTTAGACTAAATTTAGGCTAAAAACTTTTGATTTACAAAGTAAAATAGTTCAAGATAAATGAATTATTGTTGGAGCAGAAAAAATGTCGTAATGTCTTCAACCCTTAGAACAAACCCCAAAACTGAGGTCATCTACCAGTTACTCCTACAAAATCACCGTCTACCAAGAAAGGTAAAATGGAGCATGCCACAGCAGAGAATGTCATAGCCGTGCTGAAGCTAGCTATTCAGGAGCAAACATCTTCAGGAAATCTATCGACGACTTGAAATCTATTAACTTTCTCTCAACTGACATTAAAAGCACCCTGCAGACCACAGTCAGCTGAGTCAGCAAAGTTGAAGAAAAGATGCAATCATTGGAAAACACAATGCTGGAGCGCGCTACAACAGGCCATGGAACCTGCGACTCCGCGGGATGCCCGAAGAAGAGACGGAGGACGTATGGCTTAAGGTGATGGAGGTATGTCAGAATATAATCCAAAACCATAAAGAAAAGCTTCTGGAGGTGATTGATTCAGTCCATTGGCTAGGCAGAAAACGTCCAACCACAACACAACCCTGAGATATCATCGTCCAGTTCTCTATGCAGCATTTACACAACTTGATCTGGAAAATGGCAAAGACTTCTGACTCACGAAGCAACGAAATCTCCTCTTCAAAGAAGATCTTTCTGTGGAGAAACGGAACCGGCTATGGCCAATAGTTCAACAGGCCCGCAAAGATAAGAAGATCGCCTACTTTGTAGAAGAACGAGCTTTTGTGGACGGCAAAGAAACTGAATAAACTGTTTTGTCAGGTCCCAACTTGGTATGGAGGAAAAATTCTACTGTTCTCAGTTAAGTTTGAGGAAAACTCTTTTTTTCTTGTTAATTTCTATGTTGAAGTTCTTCTCAGTTAATGCTCGAGGACCGAGGGATATTTTTTCTTCTCTAGCTTTCTAGCGAGGCGCACGCGTTCCTTCCCGCTCCCTGTTTTCCTCCTGCTTTTATTTTGCTCTCTGTCTGCGTATCGGAGCAGCTCCTATTTTTTTACACATCTCCCGAAATGGAAACTATCCTGGGAAATGTGTAAACTAAGGAAAAGCTTCATCTATCGCAAGCCGGCCCCCCCCCCCCATTCTTTGGAGTCTTATTAGAACTGTGCCAGCGGACCATCATCTTATCAGGACAATGGACTGTCTAGGGCTTCATGGACCACCTCGTTTGTCAATGCAAATGTACGCGTTCATAAATGTGCAGAGTTTTGTGATGCCTTAAATCTTGCCCTGTAAGGACAAGATGTGCAGAGATCTTTGTTGTAATGCCACTGCCCTCTCCTCATGGCTTTGTCCCTTTTTCTATCTAAAAAAATGTATTCTGAATAAGAATAAGAAGACCGCACTTTAGAGCAGCAGCTTCGTGCACTCTGTCCATCTTTCGGACGGCTGTACGTACGTGTTCTGGTTGTATCTCGGTGCAATGTTAATAAAGTTTATTTTCATTCTGATATCACTAGGAGAAAAAACTTTATTTCTATTTGAATATAATTTTGGGGCTGATTTTTGTTTGCTACAGGAGACTCATTCCCTTGATAGTGACTATAACTATGGAAAGCTCAGTGGGGAGACTTGCACATGGAAGTCACCACGCAGCAGGAATATTAACTCTGAGACACAAATTTAATGGTAGCATCATCCTCACAGAAACTGACCCAGCTGGACATTTTATTCCCAGTTATCACATGCAATAAATCTTTTTTTTTTTCTGATTGGCTACATTTATGGCAATGTTAAGGAAAACTTCAGGCTGTTTGAAACTTTGAACTCCAGTACTGATGCTCTTGTTAAAATATTTAACGACATTAAGGTAATTTTAGGAGGTGATTTCAACATCACTGTGAATGATGAGGTTGATCGATGGCTTAGCAGGCAAAAAATGAATTCTCTGACTTTATGAATGAGAGAGGCTTAATCGATATCTGGAGGGTAAATAATCAAAACAAACTTTACATGAAAAAACAAATCTTGACAACAAGTTTGTCTATTTGACATTTAAAACTAAAATAGCTTAAAACTGGCACAATCTGAAAATAATTATGGACGTCACTGGGAGCTTTTAAAATATGAATTAAGAAATTTATCAAAGAAATCTGGGGCAGATATGGTTAAAAAATATCAAAACGGAGGAAAACTGCCTGATGTCTGATTTATCTCATTATCTTCTACTTGAAAATCCGTCTGAAGAACAGTTCAATCCCTTCAGCTTAAATTGATCAAACTTATATTAAAAAGCAAAAGGGCCTTTTACACGTTCACGGGTCAAATGGTTAGAAGAGGGGGAACAAAATTCAAGCTGCTGCTTCTTTAAGTTGGAAAAGCAAAGACAAACAAAAATTGATATCGCAAAACTTAATTCAAATGGCACAATTATTGATGATCCCAAACTGATTGCAAACATATGTGAAACTTTTTACAGATCATTGTATGAATCTAGACTTTCTCCTGAGGAACTTCATTATTTCGTTAAGTCTTTTTAAGTGGTGCAGAAATAATGGGTGAAGAAAACAAAGTGTCATGTGACTCTTCAGTCACACCTGATGACATCAAGGAAACTATTGAGTCTTCAATCAAATAAATCCCTAGGTACAGATGGACAGACATCAGAATTTTATAAGATGTTCTCAGAAGAACTTACTTTTTTTTACATTGTTCATTGAAAGGTGATAGAAATACTTCCTTCATCACTATGTTAAAGTTTAATTACACTAATCCCAAAATCTCAGAAAGATGCATTACTTCTGGATAATTGATGTCCCAGCTCTTTACTTAACAATGATAATAAAACTTAAAAAAGTCCTTAATAATATTATAGCGGAACCTCAGAATGGCTTTATGGCTGGAACATAAGGTTCTTGATATCTTTAAGTTTTTACAAAGGATATTGCAAATTTTTGAACAAATAGGATCTGAAAAAAAAAAAAAACATTCAATGATGAAATGTCCAAGATTTCAGATTTTGTGTGCCCTTCATAAACTCCACTAATAAATTATGTGATTATTAAAATCCTTGTATTATTTTATTTTATTTAACCTTTATTTTACCAGGTAAAGTTCAATTGAGATTAAGAACATATTTGTTGTTACATATAAATAATCAATTAGTGAAAATAAATAGATGGGAAATTACAACATGAGCTCTCTGAGCGTTTAGTCATAGTCAGAGTTTATTTGTCTTTTGCACCACATGTGGTACATGTGGCGGAACAAAATTGTGTACACAATGTTCCAGTTATATAAAAAAAAGTATAAATTGTAAAGAAAAACAGTAATAAGATCTAAGATATGACTAAGAAATGTTAAACTAAGAATACATTAAGCACAAATAGCACAAAACAATACGCTGAACATTTGAAGTTATTAGTAGATTATAATTTTTTATTTTATTTTTTGCCAGTCTTCTTTAATGTGGCTGACGAGCTTCACCATCACAGCTATCTTTGGTTGTTTGTCCAAGGTTAGCTCGCCTGGGTTATATTTGTTCATAGGAGGAGCGATCTTACTGTTCATGTAAAATATTTCATAATGTTCTTAGAAATAATTCCTGAATGTTGTTCATACATGTTTGTCTCTTGGCCCTACAACTGGGTAACATTACAGTAGACCTAGTCCACTACTGGAGTTTTAATGAGGTATTTAAGCTACTAATGATGGATGATGATTATATTGCTTCATGCTAGGCCATTGGTAAGGAGGAGTGATTATTATTGTTTCATATTGGCTAGTGATTTTTTTACGTGTAATGTGCCTGTAGACCGTGACATGACAGTGTCTACTCGTGAACTACGTGTTGTTGGCACATGTTCAAGATTTTATGTGATGAATAAGTATTAAAAAAAAAAAAAAAAAAACTTACGCCCGAACAGGGACTTGAACCCTGGACCCTCAGATTAAAAGTCTGATGCTCTACCGACTGAGCTATCCGGGCTCTGACGTCAGTTGAACCAAAGAAGGTATTTGAGAGATATTACGGTGAAGCGAGTTTTTTTTTTTTTTTTTTTTTAAGTTAGAAATTGTTAACAGCATACAAGTTCACATTAATTGTTGCGTCTTTAATAGATGAATTTACAACTGTACAAAGTGGTATTATACAGCATTTATACACAAAAACAATAATGTCTTTAATTTATCATCCCAAATCACTTTTTCATTCACTACTGACCGTATTCATCCCACATGACTTATATTTTCCATCTCATCTCCAGTGCAAAATATTAAGAACACTTGCTGTCATTCATCATGGCATATTGAGACATGAATAAAAAAAAACATTTACTTACAAAAACATACAAAATCAAACAAATCCAAGTTATATGATATTCATATGCTTTAAAACAAGCTATTAAAGTGCATAAATACTAATTTACAGAACTCTTTAAATGATGATGAGAAAGAACAGCCATAGTGAGAATAAAAAATAAAATCTATTAGAAACTCTGCTCCTGCACATGCAATTGTGCCGTCTTAATAAATCCAAATAATCTGTGTTACATGCTGAAAACGACTGCTTTATTAAGTTAATCTTATGAAATAATTTTAACAGAATGGCAAAACAAGCAAAAAGTTAGGCGACACCAGATTTAAATCCGTTTCCACACACCTGCTGTTCTGAACCGTGTGAATCAAGTCGAGCCAAAAGTCGTCTAAAAAAGTATGCAACACATTTTATTTATTTATTTGAGGCGTTCATTTGGCTTTGCAAAGTAAAACGCGAATCAAAATACAGAAACCAGAAAATAACACACCACAACGAAAGTCTGTATCTTACAGCATCTTTTTTAAAACTAGCTGATTTATTTATTTATTTTTTGCTTGAAAGCAACTATGCATGAAAACATCTTGAGTTTTTTGTCCTACTTGTAAAAGTCTAAGCAATACAAAGAAATCAGTCTAGATTTTTTTTAGCTAACATGTGCAAACTGTTGGCAATTTACCAACAATACTTGAAAATGTCAAGATTATTTTTTACAGCAACAAAAACATTTGTTATGCAATTTGGTGACATAAGTTCTTATCGTGGTCTGGTGGTACTGATGGTTTTAGGAAGTGTCTTGTAGATCCTCTTCTGATGGCAGAACTTCTCCCAATATAACCATTTTAGAAAAAAACAGTACTGTATGCTTTAAACGTCATAAGCTCAGTGTTTAAAAGACCAGTCAAAACTTGTAGAGATGTCCCTTGGTGAGCTTTTGAATGGATGGTGATAAACCCCCGTTGCACCTTTCAGCTGTGAGAAAACATCAGTCCTGGGGAAGATGTGAACTGGGATGGGGATGTGTTTAGGGTGTAAACTCGTTCACGTGGCTTCATTATGTAACCTGGAGAGTGAAAAAAGACAGGATATGTTAGCGGCTCCATTCACAAATATAACAACCTGCCACATGAACAGCATGGACCTTGTGTATGTGAGGAGGCAACTCATCCTCTGAAGTCTCCTCTGCGAGTGGTTCATGATGCCGTGAAGTTGCTTGACCGTCCTCAGCCCATCCACCCATCGGCACACGAGCCGTCCTCACCACCTTTCCTCCTGCACCAACATTATCTGAAAAAATAAACACAAAGTATAATTGCTACGTGTTGTCATCATTGTATGTTCCCGTACAGTGGTGAAATTGGTAATCTGTATTTAACCCAGGTGGAGAGTGGGCAGCTATGTAAGCGCCCGGGGAACAATTAGGGATTGGGTGTCTTGCTCAGAGACACCACGATATGCGGGAATGGCTGGGGATAGTTAAAGTACCAAAAAGATGCAGATCTGTACACCGGACAAGCTACAGAGTTGTAAAGTGTTCGGCAGGGTTTAAAAAAGATATCATATATTTCCAAATCTATTTTAATATTTTTTTTAATATATAAATAACATTTTTGAAAAAGTGCAATGTCAGCATTTTGAAACTTTATGTATATTCAGAAAAGCAGAAACTACAGAAGAGGATTAGGGCCATGGTGCGAAAAAAAAATTTAATTCTGAAAAAATAAAAAATAAAAAGTCAGAATTTTGAGAAAAAAGCAAGAATTTCTGACTTTAATCTCTGAATTCTAACTTCAATCTCAGATTTCTGACCTTAATCTCAGATTTCTGTCTTTTAAATCTTTAATAATAACCTAACTAAGGGGAAAAAATAATTGCACTGTAGCTCTAATCCTCTTCCGTAAGAAGCCCTATTAGAAGAGTACGGACATTTTCCCATCATGCTTGAAGTCCAAACATTAGAAGAGACCTGTGCTGGGCCCACTGTGGCGCCGTGACTTCGCCCCCTGCTGGTCCACTGCAGCACTGCTGCTGGCTGATGCTGAAGCGGGAATGGCACTGGGACTCGGAACCATGATGGGGAAAGTGTGCGAGCGCGGGAAACTTCGAGAGCGAGCGCTCGGTTCGCTTCTTACTTCATCCGGGATGCTGTCGCTGCTTTCGTCACTGTCCTGCCTGTGCCACGTGTGGCGTGACGGCTCGCCGCGGGCTTGCTGTTTGTGAAGCTAAAAAAAGCAAAACGTTACAAACAAAGCTGAACGGAGCTCACGTTTCAAATGACCTTTGATGTATTTTAGCACATCTCGCATGCGCACAGGTTTACCTCGTGCATGTAGAGTGCATGGATGCTCATTTCGGTGGAGGCGTACTCTGACAGGACCAAGCTGGTGAGCTGACCCTCCCACACACTGCTGCCTGAGCTCACAGTCCGAGCATCCGTCCTTTTGGGGAAATAAAAGCACAAAAAGGGCAGAGAAGAGTGACAAAGTGTTCAAAGAAAAGGTGACCTAAACTGCGGGGGTGCACAAACTTTTCCCTGACACGGCCCCCCACACAGCATTAACTTCTGGCCGAGGCCCCCCTCGCAAACCCACAAACAATGCTACAAAATATGTCAAGAAACATCAGCTTTTAGAACGTTTTAACTTTTATTCAATATATTCAATTAATTATTACAGCTACTGAGCATAAAAATATTAACTAACGTGTTTTTAAGATATTTTTTGACTGGTCCTATGGTTTTGATCTGCTCAGAGACGGGATTATAATGAAATTATGACCCGGTTCTGACTGGGTTAAACTGGGCCAGCAACTCTAAAGAGAGTCTCCCTGAGATTTCAATATCACTCAAGAAATAGTTTAATCTGCTTGCCACATCACGTAGAAGGCTTTTGAAGCACCATCTCATATTTCCTAACACATCAGTCCACATAAGATCCACTGAGATCACACTTAGCCACGCCCCCTCATACACTGATAGGTTGAGCTCCCCTTCTGTGAAGGAGGAGTCCAGGACCCTATAAATGAGTAATGCCACGGGACATCGGGGCTCTTCTTCTGGGTCACTGAACACGTCACAGACTGGAGAGTCCAGCTGCCTTTTCTAATATAACTGATAAAACTTAATTGACGTTTCCTTGATTTATTGATTAGTATAGTTGCCACTTCTGAGGGAGGTTCGAGCCGGGGGGAAAGACGTGGGCTGGAGGGGGTTTCCGGGTCCGGTGGTCCGCAGACTATGTAAAGAAACATCAACTTTTAGAACGTTTTAACTTTTATTCACTATATTCAATTAATTATTACAGCTGCTGAGCATAAAAATATTAACTAACATGTTTTTAAACACTGTATTATATTCCCAAGTGGTGCTGAAGTTTCGAAGGTTTAAAACATTTTTTTGCAAGGGTCTTCAGACAGAGGACACATTTCGGGCAATCATGGCCATTTTTCTGTACGACTGTAAAGCCATACTTAATGTTTTCTTCTTCATAGCTTTGAATTTTAGCTGGCCACGAGGTCTTTGTTTTGTTTTTTGCAGCAGTTTCCACCACAGCAGGGCTGCTGGTCGGCTCCTTTGGTCTTTTTAGAAACGTCTCCATTTCATCCTTGCTATGCTTGAAGAGTAAAGCAGCTTGATACATTTGACTGGCAGCCAATCAGAAAGATGAGCATGGTGAAACATTTCAATATATTATTATAAAATATATTTTAAAATAATTATTGAAAAATAGATTCGATTTTATTACAGTAATTTAAAATTTTAATAATTTTTTTTGTGGCTTTTTAAAATCTTTTTCTTTCCAGCATTCCGAGACTCTCTAGTGCCCCCTGGCGGCCTCATTTTGAAAAGCACTGACCTAAACAAACATTTTTCACTGCGAATTGTAAGAAAATTCAAACTAAAGCAGAAGCTTGATCAGCAGCTGGTCACTCACCCAGAGCCTGCCATTGCTTTGCTGGTGAAACCACTAACTCTGTGGGCAGCGCTCACACTGCCTCGCAGGTTAAGACTGCTGCTGACCGGTGACAGAGAGCACAGGGCGGTCGCTCCAGTGTTGATACCAGCTGCTGCATTATTCGTCAAAGAGATGTCGCAGGGAAACTGAACAGGTGCCAGTGTGGAGGGACCCGTCAAGAGGTCTGCAACAAGACTCCTCGGCTACAAAAGAGAAAACAGAAGAGAGGGAATCACCTCTGAAACCTTTGTGACACTGGTTTGAATCTTAGACTGTCACCATACTTCAGACTCGGACAAGGAGAGAGGGTGTGTGTCAGAAGAAGACCCCGCTGCCTCTCTGTGAACTCTTTCTTTCAGTTGGCTGATGAAGTGTGTGGTCTCCTGAGGGGGCTGCCAGTGGGGGTTTGTGATGGCAAAGTGCATCAGAGATAACTCTGTCTTCCCATCCTCTGCCTGCTGGTAGATGGACGCCTCAGTCTTCCCCGCCGACATCCACTAGAGTGAAGAGCAAACATCAGTCTACTGTCTGCTACTTTCCATGTAAGCACTTTTCTACAGATGTGTCTTCATTTGACAGAGTTCCTCACCGCAGGGTGTCCATGCTGTCTTATGTCCATCTGGGCAAAAGAGCAGGTGTCTCCAACCCCAACCACCTCCACCGTGAAGTTCCTGAAGAAATCTATGATCTCGAGAGACTTTCTTCTCAGGCAGAAGATGAGGATGATGGGAGTCACCACTGGGCTTATCAGCTCCTCCAGAATAAACACCTGGAAAATAATAAATGGGATCAAAGTAAATCTTAAAGTTGTTACTGTTAAGGTAAATAAAAAAGTGATGGTGCAGCTCAGCATTAGTGGAAGATGCTGCCTCAGTAAGTCAGAGCCACTTGAACTAACCTGCCCAAGCAAACTCTGATTCATAGGTGTTGTTTGTTACTCACTGCTTTGTACTGGAAGAGCTGTGAAAACTGGTCTCGGGTCTCATATCTGTGAGCATTGCCCTGCCAGTGGTCGGGCATATAGTGGATATGAGCTAAGATGACCCGCAGCAGCTGCTCGGGACAGTAAACCATGTGCTTATCAGGAATAAATGACCTGTGAAGAAACAGAAAAGTGAAAAATAAAGATCAATTTGTAAAATAAATGATGAACTGGACAAAAACTAAATGGATTAAATGGATACATTTTAAACCATCTCAAAAATGTACTCAATAACCTAGAAGTCTTGAAGCTACATAATTAATAATACTGAAGAGGATCTCATGATAGTTTCAGAGGATTCAACCGTTGTGACATTGTGGCTTTCACTGTAAATGATGATAAATGAGCCTGATCCTCACCTGCAGACTGTGATACACACTCCGAGCAGCGTGATGGATGACAGGACATGTTCCACTGCAAGAACGTCCTCGTCATAGATTGTGAGGGCAATGAGCACGGCCAGGAGGGAGCCAGCAAAAAACGCTACATTTTTGGCGACCACTGTCAGCAGCGAGGACAGGAAACAGTTCATGTACTTGGATGCAGCCTGAGTTACAGGATAACAAACGAGAAAAGACGAAATCTTGAGATTAATGATTCACTGCACAGGATAATTCAGTTCAGTTTATTTATATAGTGCGAAGACACAACAGAAGTTGTCTCAGTGCATTGCACAGTAACATTCATATACCATAACTGCTGGTGTATAAGCTGCTGCTTTTGTCTCACACTTTGTGCACTGCAGTTTGTCTTTTTCATGTTTTGTTTTCATACATATATATATTTTATTTTGAAAGACTTCCTGCCACTGTCTATGATATACCTTTGACGACACTGGGTGCACTTGGCTCCTAGCACCCCACCCTTAATGGGGACAGGTGTCTCCAATACGGGGAGAGAATGCTTGCAGGTAATCCGATGTGCTACGATTCTAGATCGTGGTTTCAAAATTCCCTACCATAACTCCACCTACTCCGTCATCATGTGACCAGAAGTGCAACCTTAACGACCAATGAGATACTGTCACTGACCCATCCTTCAAGATACACGTGCATTAATGAGGCTTCCAGTTTACAGTAGGAAAGGGTAAAAAATAAGGCGTTAAATTCTTCAGATTCTTCAGATCAGTTACTGTATTTTACGCCTCGTGCACGGCACAGACTTTGTTCATTCGTCAATAATGGAAAAAAACACGGAGGATTTCTTATGATGCAGCTTTCAAATTAAAAGCTATCGATCTGGCTTTCATAGAAGCAAACAGGGCTGCCGCATGTGAGCTCTCCATCAACGAGTCGTTTATGTGAATTTGGCTCCCCTGGCTGGCCTTGAAGGCCACCGTACCTGAACTGGCCTGGAGAACATGTGATCTGACGCTCACCGCCCCCTCCCTTCGAGGAATTTCCAACGGATCAACCAGATGAAACCAGCGGAATAAACTCTTGGATTCTCATAGGCGTTATTCTCGGCCATTCCCCGACATACCTCGAGAATGTTTATGGATCTCACCGGATGGAACTGTTTGATTATTCCATCCTTATCAGAACTTCTACAGTGCCTTTGAGAGCGACCACGGACATCGCTCACCACTCTCGTCGTCTCCCCCCTCTGCAGAATGTCTACGTCACTATGTGCTTGTTTGTGCGAGGTGTTTTTTAATATTAGTTTTTCTTCTCAGCCAAGAAGAAAGAGTCTGATAGGAATTTTTTGCCACCAATTCCTACATGAGTCCAGTTTCATTACTTTGTTGTCTGTCTAAACAGATCCCACTTGTAACTGAGTCTGCTAGGCTCAATGAGACTTATCTGTCTAAATAAAGGTTGAATGAATCAGGCGCTGGAGACGGCAGCATGAAGAACTGGCTCAATGCAAAACAAAAGCTTTCAGAGGAAAAAAAGACAGATGGCCCGAACTTGAAAACATTCTGGAAGACTGGGTGAACACACAAAGAGCAGACGGCCGAGGTATTTCCACCGTGCAGATCCGACTGAAAGCGGAAACAATCGCCACGGAAAACAAGATTCAAGATTTTAATGGTGGGCCATCGTGGTGTCTGAGAATTATGAGACGTAAAGGACTTTGTGTCAGCAACTCCCTCCCGACTACGAGGAAAAGCTTACAAACTTCCACACTTTTATTCATGAAAATATAGAGGAAAATCAAGTCTGTACATATTTTAATAAAAGTTTTAAAATTCTTACTGTGTGATTAAATACAGAGATCTCATTTTAAGCTCACATCCGAACATTAAACGGAGCGGAGACAACAGGAGGGGCTGTAAATGTGTTTAAATACCAGCATCTCATTTAAGCTCATCTCACTCATGAAACTGAGCGGGGGAGAGGGGGCTGTTCCCCCTTACTCCCTCCCCTCCTCATTAGCGCTGAAGAGAAGTCCCTTCATATTTATTTAAGATAAGATAGTTTAGAAAGTAAAGGTAGATTTAAAAACAGCAGCTGATAACAATACTGTTTGACAATAAAAATCAGTGGTACTTTCAGTGATTTAATGAATATTTACTACATTTTAGCTGTACTACGGTATTTCACGTCCAGTGACATGACCTCGTTAGGACTTCTGGGTAATATTTCCCGGTATATAGTTTTTAAATAATTTCAGTTACTTAGGTGTTTGGCACTTTTATGTCCATTTTTAGCGTTTTATGTCCAGTGATTATGCTTACCAGTAGATATTACCTGTATTTTGTTCATTTTGAAGGTTTAATGGTTGTTACCATGAGTTAAATACTGAAGCTTCAAGTATACTTAGGATCACCATTCAAGCTTTTTGTATGTTGAAAGCAAGCCATAGTCTGTGAATGCCATCAAACTGATGATTAATGTACTACAAGAAGTACAGCACAGACAGAGCTGAGCACTTTCATTCATTGTACAGTGGATACCTGCAGCTTATCAACTGGGGTGTCTCATTTATGTATAAAATTATGATTTATGTGTGGCTAAAACACATGTGCATTTTGTGGTTCAGGAATTACAGTAGATAAAAAGTTAATAACTATTTATCTGAGGAGCAGACTGCTATGAATATGTGAATGTAATTACAAAGAACACAACAGTGACATCACAACTATCTGTCTCTATGAGAACAAACACATTAAAGGTTTGATGGTTAATAAACCTAGAGAAATTGCATTTCCTGAGAAAATGAATGTGAATGCTTATTGCAGAAGAACTTGCTGAAAAACAGCTGAATTCAGCTTAAAAAACATGCTGGAATGGAGGAACAGGCTAAATTAGAAGAAAACAGAATGAACACACATTTGTTGAATTATGTTTAAATAAGCAGAAATGAGCACAACATTAGTTAATTAGCTTTAAAAAAAAAGCTAAAATGTAGCTGAAAGGCAAAAACAAGCTTAAACTACCAGAAGTAAGTGGAAAGAGCTGAAATGAGTTAAAAATGTGGAATTAGCTGAAAAAGCTAACATTTTCATAAAAATAGATAAATAGCAGAAATAAGCTGAAAGGAGCGTAACAAGCTGCAATTAGCAGAAAGAAGTTAATTAGGTTGAAAGTAGTAGAAATTACCATGAAAAACTTGAATTTATCCAAAAACAGTTAAAATTAGCTAAACGCTATCTGAAAATGTAGAACAACCAATACCAAAAGTCACAGGATTGTCCTGAAAGAGCTGAACATTTGATCTATGATTTGTTGAAATAGATGAAAACTGCAGGACGAGAAACACACCGAAAAACGTACGGAAGAAAACTGGATCACAACAGTGTGAATGCTTCATAAACATTTACGCAATAAAATGGGGCAGAAAGATGAAAGGGAAGCTCTGACCTTGTAGCCTTTGCTGAGACGAGACAACAGCTCATGGTCCAGCTCGTTGAAATGACGCAAGTAACACCGACCGTAGAGAGACCAACATCTTGCCCCGAGAGAACCGGGCTCTCGCTTGATCACCTAGGCATAAAAAAAACAACCAATATGACTAGAAAATCCAGGAGAAAGTTCAGATTTTTCATGTGCACGTGTGAACCGTTTACCTCGGTGTAACTAAAGAAGGCATAAAGAATCTGCCACACCAAAATGACAGGACACAGCAGCAGATTGGCAACGCCGATCCAAAGGATACGAGATGCCAGTCTGTCTGCGAGCTCAAGCCTGTTCCCCCCTCTCTTATACTCTGGTTTAAGACTCCACTCATTCTCAAACAGAGAACCTATAAAAAAAAAGCATGTCTTTAATGCAAAATCAGGAAAATTCACATGCATGCATATGGAGTAAAACAATATATTAACACAGAGCTGTGAATACAAAAATATAATTACACACCCGGTCCCCAAAAAAAGATGAGCTCAAAGTTGTATTTAAGCCCTCGGGTGTAAAACACACACTCTCCGAGCACAGGAAGACGAAACTGCACAGGCAGGAGTGACTTGTTCACCATAGCAACCTGAAAACAACGAAAAGTAAACACTGCTATGAAGTCAAAAGTGATGAAGACATTTGTTTAATAACTCGGCTATGAAAGGTTTTCTTAAATGTTCACACCATGTAGTTTTTAAAGCGCAGGATGCGGTGATAGATGTCCAGTTCCGTCAGTTCTTTCTTATGAATGCAAATTTGATGCTCTTTCTGGATCTCAATTATCCTGGCCTGGACTTCCTGCCACGTGACGTAGGGGAGCTCCGACTGGAACACAGAGGCACATCGAAGATCTATCACCACTGGTTGTTTTTATGTCAACACAGTGAAGCTTCACACTTAAAAACATAAAATAAGACAAAATATAGTTCGTCTCACCATGGACATCTTCAGGGCATTGATGTAGAAAGATCTGATCTCCCAGTAACAGCAAACGTTGTAGAGAAATTTTATAAAGCGATGTAGCCAAAACACCCCCGAGATTATCAGAACAAAGATCAGAAATGCGTTGCCTTGAATACTGTGGGAGAAAATGTTATCATTGTGAGACAAACTCTGAATATACCGTAATTTCCAGACTATTGAGCGCACTCAAATACACAGTAAGCTGTGCCCACCAAATAAAACAAAATATTTTGTTCTGGGAACATCTGGCAGAGTCTCCTGTGAGACAAAAATTTAACACCCACCTCCGGGAGGGCTTCGAACATGTTCCGGGGGAGGTGGGGGACATCGAGTCTGAGTGGGCCATGTTTCGTGCCTCTATTGTCGAAGTGGCTTCCCGGAGCTGCGGCCGCAAGGTTGTCGGTGCCTGTTGCGGCGGCAACCCTCGAACCCAGTGGTGGGCACAACGGTGAAGGATGATGTCAGGCTGAAGAAGGAGTTCTATTGGGCCTTTTTGGCCTGTGGGACCCCGGAAGCAGCTGATGGGTACTGGCAGTCCAAGCGACATGCGGCTCGGGTGGTCGCTGAGGCAAAAACTTGGGCATGGAAGGAGTTCAGAGAGGCCATGGAGAATGACTTCTGCACAGCTTCGAGGCGATTTTGGTCCATCATCCTGCGTCTCATGGGTGTAAAGCGATACACCACCAACACTGTTTATAGTGGGGGTGGTGCGTTGCTGACCTAAACTCGGGATGTTGTGGGTAGGTGGGCAGAATACTTTGAAGGCCTCCTCAATCCCACCGGCACGTCTTCCACTAAGGAAGCGGAGCCTGGGGACTCTGGATCGGGCCCTCCAATCTCTGGTGCTGAGGTCACAGAGGTGGTTAAAAAGCTCCTCAGTGGCAGGGCCCCAGGGGTGGATGAGATTCGCCTGGAGTTCCTTAAGGCTCTGGATGTTGTATGGTTGTGTTGGCTTACATGACTCTGCAATATTGCGTGGACATCGGGGGAAGTTCCCCTGGATTGGCAGACCGGGGTGATGGTCCCCCTATTCAAAAAAGGGGACCGTAGAGTGTGTTCCAACTACAGAGGGATCACGCTCTTAAGCCTCCCTGTTAAGGTCTATTCAGGGGTTCTGGAGAGGAGGGTCTGTCGGATAGTCGAACCTCGGATTCAGGAGGAGCAGTGCGGTTTTCGTCCTGGTTGTGGAACACTGGACCAGCTCTACACTCTCAGCAGGGTCCTGGAGGGTGCGTGGGAGTTTTCCCAACCTGTCTACATGTGCTTTGTGTACTTGAAGAAGGTGTTCGACCGTGTCCCTCGGGAAACCCTGTGGGGGGTACTCTGGGAGTATGGGGTACCAGGCCCTTTGATACAGGCTGTTAGGTCCCTGTATGACCGGTGTCAGAGCCTGGTCCAAATTGTTGGCAGTAAGTTGGGCTCGTTCCCGATGAGAGTTGTACTCCGCCAAGGTTGCCCTTTGTCACAGATTCTGTTCATAACTTTTATGGACAGAATTTCTAGGCGCAGCCAAGGTCTTGAGGGGATCCGTTTTGGTGACCTTAGGATTGCGTCTCTGCTTTGTGCAGATGATTTGGTCCTGTTGGCTTCATCAGGTCGTGATCTACAGCTTTCGCTGGAGCGGTTCGCAGCCGAGTGCGACACGGCCAGGATGAAGATCAGTTCCTCCAAATCCGAGGCCATGGTCTTGAGCCGGAAAAGGGTAGAGTGCCCTCTCCGGGTCAGGGAGGAGGTCCTGGCCCAAGTGGAGGAGTTCAAGTATCTTGGGGTCTTGTTCACGAATGAGGTAAAAATGGAGTGCGAGATCGATAGGCGGATAGGTGCAGCGTTTGCAGTGAAGCGGGCGCTGTACAGGTCTGTCGTGGTGAAGAGAGAGCTGAGTCAAAAGGCGAAGCTCTCAATTTACCGATCGATCTACATTCCAACCCTCATCTATGGTCACAAGCTTTGGGTTGTGACCGAAAGAACGAGATCTCGGATACAAGCGGTCGAAATTACTTTTCTCCGCAGGGTGTCTGGGCTCTCCCTTAGAGACAGGGTGAGAAGCTCGATCATCCGGGAGGGACTCAGAGTAGAGCCGCTGCTTCTCCACGTCGAGAGGAGCCAGTTGAGGTGGCTTGGGTATCTGGTTAGGATGCCTCCTGGACGCCTCCTTGGTGAGATGTTCCGGACACGTCCCACCGGGAGGAGACCCAGAGGAAGACTCAGGACACGCTGGAGGGACTATGTTTCTCGGCTGGCCTGGGAACGCCTCGGGATTCCCCCGGAGGAGCTGGACCAAGTGGCTGGGGAGAGGGAAGTCTGGGCCTCCCTACTTAAGCTGCTACCCCCGTGACCCGATCCCGGATAAGCGGAAGAAAACGGATGGATTTTGTTCATATCTAAGCCGTGCTTGTCTATAAGCCACGGGTGTCATCGTAACATGAGATATTTACACAGAAAGATTTTTTTTCTACTTTTAATTAAATACATACTGGCAATATACACAAATAGGTCTTGAAAATACAAATATACAAAATACAAATAATTGTTTTTTGCATTGAATCAGTTCTTCACGCTGCCGTGTCCAACGTCTCACCATCGATTGATGCCAAGCTTACGTGCAGCAGCTCTATTTCCTTCTGACAGCCAGATTGATCGCCTTTAACTCGAAAGCTGCATCGTAAGCATTTCTTCGTGTGCTTTCCATGACGAGGGTCTGTGCACGAATCGCAAAATAACTGAAGAATTTAGTGTGACCGCGTTTGATTTACGATAATTCCAAATTTTGTTGGTCCGCTGTGACCTGTTCGGTAATTTAATTGGTCTGATTTTATTTTTTTTTTTACTTTTTTTTTTTTTATACAGGTACTGTATATTTCGCCTTATAAGTCGCAGTTTTTGCATAATTTACATGCCCTGCGACTTATAGGCTGAAGCGACATATTTATGAATTTTTTCCCCACATTTATAAACCTTTTTTGGCTGAGATATGACCGTTTCCATTCATTCAGACTGGAAGAAAAAAGAGCAGTACCACTTTCAGCCACTAGATGACAGCAGAGTAGTAGTAGCGTTATGGCATGCCGTTGTATCATGTAAACGTGGCTATAATGACAAATTCAAAAAAGTTCAATACAAAAACAACTGGACTTTATTTATTATACATTATTGTTTTTTTCTTGAACTTTTTTGAACTTACTATGTCCTGGATGACTGAGAATCTTCACCAGCTATTAATGACACAATCGGCTTGCCATTGTCCCCCCCCCACCTTTGGTCTGCTCGCTGCTTGGAACAGTCAAACCAGCTGCACCACCCAGCGAAATGCAGCTCATTTGACCAATAAAGTGCATTTATTAGGCAAACGTTAGACTGAGACACACCCTTGCTATAATTTCAAGCAAACAAATACATGTTTTGGTGTCAAGAAGCTTGTTAGCCCGTCAAACAAATTTACAAATAAAAAAATCTATAAATTAGCCGCAGCATTTTATACGCTGCGGGGTTCAAAGTGTGTGAATAAAAAGTTGTGGCTTATAGTCCGGAACTTACAGTAACTTTTACACATAGTGCATAAAAAAATTTTTGACTCACTGGGCACTGCAGACATCCATTGGTAAAATTGCATCGGGTATGGTGACTTTAGAGGAATCGGTGTGGTTTACAAACTTGTTGGCAAAAAGTATGTCATAATCCACACAGTTGGCCAGGAATACCGTGAAGCCAACCACAAACAGCAGCTGACTGCACACAGAGGGCAAAAGAGAAGAGGCAGGAAAAAAAACAGGAAGGAATAAAGAGCATGAGAACAAATACGTCAGGTACATTTAACCAAGACTGCAAGGAAAAATACATTCATGATAAAATACATACACCAGCTCAAAAATCTCTCCCAACAACATGCAGGTGAATCCGTTCTTCTGGTGTAAATTATAGACGTGGGGAAAGTTAAGGAGATTTGTGAATGCAAGACAGTCGGTGTATAAGCAGAGCATGGCATAAAAGTTATTCATACCAAATTGTGTAAAAGGATATTCTTTGAAAAAACAGGTCCAGGTTTTCTATGTGGTGCCACTGAGCTGCAAAGGGTTCATTACAAATTAAACAATGATTAGGTAAGGTAAAGGTGTGTAAAAATGATTAGTTTTTGATTTGTGTATGTTTTTCATACATTTGCTGCCCTCGGGCACATGCATCAGCAGGTTCTCCTCTCCGGTGGGAGAGTCGCTGTAGGACGCCTCCAGGCGCTGGTAGTCCGTGTCAAAGTGCGCCATAGTGACGTGGCTTCAGTCTCACAGAGGAGCCGCTGCTACAGGCTGGAAAGAAACATGACAGGAGAGAAGCAGGTGAAGTGTTGATCTCACAGAAGGATTCCTGATTCTTTTACACTTCACAGGTAAAATAAATATACTGTGAACCCTGCTCAGAGAGGTTTGCACCCAGATTACTGCTGATAGCATGAATTCAAAACCAAGCATACCGACTCTGATCACTTTTAACATTAATTCAATTCAGTTTATTTATATAGCGCCAAATCACAACAAAGTTGTCTCAGGGCACTTTACAGGAACATTCACATACATAGAAAAGCAGACGCATTTTCTGCCGTAAATGTCACGCCGCCCTATAAGTCGCATCAGTCCAAATATGTCTAATAAAGTGGGAAAAAACATAAATACGTCACATCTATTATGTGTTACCACTGACAACCCAGAAATGTGGGCCGGTGTTGTGCCAAAAATTGATTGGCTGCCAAATGGGAGGACTTTAACAATAAATTTAATAAGATTAACACTTAAAAACAATTGTTTGCTTGAAATTATAGTAAAGGTGTCTCTGTCTAACTTTTTCTTAATAAATGTACATTGACGTCAAATTAGCTGCATTTTCAGAAGCCAGTACGCGGAAACATGAACGCGCAGAGGGCGACTCGCTGTCCATTACTTCAAAATTTAACGAGATAACCATCTAAAAACAATTATTCGTTGCTCGACTTTATCGTAAAGGTGTGTCTCAGTTGAACTTTTACTTAATAAATGCACTTCAATGGTCAAATTTGCTGCATTTCACTGGGGCAGTGCAGCGAAATGAAACTGATTTGACGGTTGCTCCTGGCAGACGACGGTGGTAGGCTATGGCATGCAGATTGCATCATTAATAGCCACTTTTACCTATTACATGATACAGCAACATGCCATACCAATACTACTAGTGTGCCATCTAGTGGCTGAAAACGGTAGTGTTCAATATTTTCAGTCAGAATGAATGAAAACGGTCATATCTCAGTCAAAAATTGATTTATAAATATGAGAAAACATCCATAAATATGTTGTTTCGGTGTATAAGTAGCAGGGTGTGTGAATTATGAAAAAAACTGCAGTTTATAGGCTGAAAAATATGGTAGTTAAGTTCGCCATCTAAGGAATTATGTATAGGCTCAACTTGGTGGTAATTAGAAAAATCAAAGTTGGAAGGAATTAATTAGCATTTAGAGCACGATAAGTGTGAGTCGGCTGCGAGTTTAAAACTTTCTACATTCGCTGTGATATAATTCTAAGCCAGAAATTATTGGTAGAGTTAGAATGAAACTAAAACCAACTAAAAAACAAATGCTTGCTCTCGAGAGATATTTATTTAACTTAAGACATGACAAGATTGAAAAGACCCTAAGGAGGCTCCTGTAGTTCACATATGATTAACATGAGACTACAGTAAAAAGCATTTTAAAGCTTATTGACAGGTTTGTCCTCTGGTAATGTGTGGCTTATTTTGAGACATTTAACATGATGGTGAAAAAACAATCAGGCAAAGACAATAAAAACAGACTTACACCCATTTGAGTTTATTGCGTCCCATTCTGATGTGTCCAGTGAACATATCCAGCTGGAAAAAATACATACATTTTAATTAAAGAACCCCCAATGATGGATATAAGAAATTGACAAAGAGGGTACATTTCTCTTTGGAGGGACAACATGCAGAAGCTCTGAGTTAATTTTACACACACACACAATCCCAGAAACAGCTGTGTTTAGTTCGTATTTGATCAGGAATGCTGTTTATTTGTCAACACGAAGCTGCCTGTTTACAACAGGCCTGGCTCCCTCACCAGAAACACGTCTCCTCTCGACTTCCGCCGCATGAAGTCCGATCCGTCTGGCTCCTCTGCCTTCCCTGGGTTGATGCGAAACAGTAAAAACACGGGATTTTAATTTGTTAAACGAATTATTTTCGTTTCTTCTGAGTCCCTCTCATGAAGTCAAGCACGAACCAGTTTCATTTTCGAAACGCCTAACTGCGTGGCTTTCGTCATCGTTGAGCGACAGACGTCTCAGCCAATGAGAAAAGGAGTTATCTGACGCAGAGCCAACAGAATTGGAAAGGAGGCGGGCTTTAATGGTTTGTTTTGTTGTTGGCTCCGCCCAGAAGCCTTTTCTCTGTTTTATCATTTACGGTTATGTGCTGCCACCACCTGGTTATTTGGAAGTACTACAATAACTTGGATTTCTCTTTTAAAAGTGGAACAATGTGAAAGTCCATTTATTATTAGACTTCCAATTATTTTAAATTACTTATAATAATAATAATAATATGATTATATATTATTCGTGTATGCTTTTTCATGTACCTTGAAAAAAACCCTCATATTAAGGATATTGCAGCTACAATTTTTTTTATGATCATCCAAACGATCTCCAAGATATTTTGAGCTTCCTTGTTTTATTTTGCTCTTCTACAGGGACAAAATACTAAATATTAAGAATAATCAAATACTGTTTCAAAAATATATACTGTACATGCGCAGTAATTCATATGTACATAGAATACATACATGTGTTTTCAAAAGCAATTACGGCAGCAAATAAAAAAAATATTATAGTGTTAAATGGGGCAAAAACGGGCAAAGATTGTTATAATTTTTGGCACAACTTAATTATTAAAAAATTCTAGCTAATCAAATGCAGAATCATTATGCAAAACACTAACAAAAAGTAGCAACATGATAGCAAAAAGGTGAACCTAGCAATATACTACAAAAAAAGCTAAAAATAGCACAAATTTAGCTAAAAATAACAAACCACAAGCTAAAATAGATATAGTAAAGCATCAGCTAAACTGTAAAGCAGAAAAATGCTGACGAGAAACAAAAAAAAAGCCAAAACATTAGCTAAGTAGTTAAACATTATCTTAAATATAAGAGTAAAAATTCTTAAACCTGTGTAGCTGCAAGTTTAAACTTAGCTTAGCTCATACATTTTCTCGTTTACACTTGTCGTATTTTTCAGACTATAAGGCACACTTAAAATTGTTTAATTTTCTCAAAAATCAACAGTGAGCCTTATAATCTGGTGTGCCTTATGTACTAATTTTGGTTGTGCTTACTGACCTCGAACCGATTTTGTGGTACACGGCGCTCAAAAAAACACAATGTGGTGCTTTTGTTTCGCTGAATGTGCCTTATTCCGGTGTGCCTTATGTATGAAAACAGGCCGTTCAGTGATATTGCTCCCAGGGCCGGAGTGGAACTCATTTTCAGCCCTGGAGTTTCATGTCTCATAGTGGCCCACTTTAGATCACGACCTATTATTATTAAAATCATGTAATTATTACCTTACATCAGGGATGATTCTAGAATTTACTTTTTAGTGGCGTTTTAGCCCCCAGTACTGACAATGTCTCTTGACTTGAACAATGTGGTGACCACTGGCACCAGAAGCTGTTTTAATGTGGAGGGATGGGTGATGGGGGGCACACTGGTGGTGGGGGGCAGGGTCTGGGGTCCTCCTCCAGAAAATTTTGAATAAAGTAGATGCCATTTCCTGCATTCTGGTGTATATTAACAGGCTGTTTAACATATAGTTTTATCTACATAAGTAAACACTTAATTTAATAATTCAATTCAATTCAAAAATACTTTATTAATCCCAGAGGGAAAATAAATGTTGTGGTAACTCATCATCCTGGTTTCATTAAAGAGTTGTTATAGATGCTGAAGGCTGTGGGCAGGAAGGAACTCTTGCAGCAGATCTGAAGAAGCCTCTGACTGAAGACACTTTGTTGTTGTATGACAGTCTGTTGTTGTATGACAGTCTGATGTTGTATGACAGTCTGTTGTTGTATGACAGTCTGTTGTTGTATGAC